GATGTGACACAGCCAGCTGCTTTAGGCTCCGGCTGCTTGACTTGGACCCAGTGATGGACTGTGCTCTTGAACTGTGAACCAGAACAAACCCTCTCCCGTGAGCTGTTTTCGTCAGGGTATTTCATCAACAGCAAGATGAAAAGAAACCAAGGCGCACATGGGATCTACATGGGCCACTGCGGGGAAGTCTGTGTTACCAAGTTGACAGGACCAGTGGCGAGAGATGGGGCGCACTGTCCCAGCTGGCACAGGGCCTTGAGTCCTCCCCTCTGACACACCCCTCCAACCTCCACCCTCCAGCAGGAACAAAACATTGCATGAACCCCTTACTCAAACAGTAGGAAACCTGGACTTGAAACCTCTGGATCTAACAGAAGACAATCTCTCCTTCAGCTGAAAGGGCTGACAGGGGCATGGGGTGGCTCTTCAGGAGTTGTGAAGGGTGATAAGTTCCTAGACCCACACAGGATTTCCAGCTGAAGAGGTGGCATTCAGCACTCCCATAATACTAAAAGGCATTCAAGGAGGTGGCAATTTTATTTTCACAGTTTCATAGAAAATGGATGTAAGCTTCAGCTAAACAAGGCAAGTGCAATTTGTCCAAAGACTAGTCCCATTGCCAACTGGGAGGAAAGAGCTAACCCCACGAAGAATATTGGAATCAGCACTAATAGGCAAAACATGACATGCTGTTTTAAATAATGCATGCGATCATGTTTTTATTAACAAAGAAAGCCTCGTTTCAAAACACACACGTCCTTGAAAGGAATCTGAAATTAATTCTCAGTAGGCAGAACCCCACGGCATTCTGTGTTCTAATTATAATTACAACCTGCCCTTAACACGGACATTCAAAATTATCAGGCGCTTTATTAGGAAGTAGAAAGGGGCTTTTTCTGCTACATGAAGCTCACCAGCTTTGAGGGACGTCACAGCCAGTTCTGCATAGAGCTGGGAAGCGTGGATGATGCCATTTCTTTAATGAAGGCTTGCTTGCTTTTTTTGCCTGGAATGGGCACACCCTTAGGGGCTTAGATACCGTGAGGCTTCAGAGCTGCTCTTTCTGGGGCAAGATAAATATGTGCATCACAGAAAAATATCAATTTATCACTGTAATGGTTACATCCCACTACAGAGGCCACTGGAGACTGCTTAACATTTTTATCTCAAGCCTCGTTTTCCCCAGTCTTCAGATGACAAACTGATCCCGGTGCCAAAAGGCTCTTCTTCCCATTTGTTCCTAATAAAACTGGCTCGATTCTGGGTTTATTTCCATCTGGGGAGATGTTAAGGTTTGAGCTTTAACAGACTGATTCCCCTCTCCCTTTCTGCATGCTCTTCCTTCAAAAGTGTCCACAGGCCACATCTGTGCAGGTCAGCAAAGACCAGTGTGCTCTTTGAGCTCCTGTCCCTTCCCCTGGAGACCTCTGCTGGAGAGCGACAGATGTGAAGGCAGCAGCATTTGGGCTAGATCTTCCTGGCTGCCACAGGCTGCCACCGGCTGCCACAGGCTGCCACAGGCTCAGTGCTCTCCTATCCTTAGGACCTACCTGCCACACGTCTGTCTGTTCAAACTTTGCCATTGCACGTACTGTTCTCTTTCTGTGTGTGGTGTAGGCACACGAGTGTGTGGACATGAGCACACTTGTGCACGCAGAGGCCAGAGGAGGAGGCTGGGTGATCTGCTTCTTCATTCCCCACCCTATTCCCTTAAGACGGGGTCCCTTAACGATAGCCTAGCAGCCTGTCAGCCCCGGTGACCCTCCTGGCACTGCCCACCAAGGCGCTGGCGGTGCTGGGATGGGCAGCCACACCTGGCATCACAGATCCTCAGGTGTGTGCAGTAAGCAGTCTTACCACGGAGCCGTCGCCCCAGCTCCTAAACTTCTGCACTGCAGACAGAGTTCTCTCTCTTTCTCTCTCTCTCTCTCTCTCTCTCTCTCTCTCTCTCTCTCTCTCTCTCTCTTGGTTTTGGTTTTTGTTTTTCGAGACAGGGTTTCTCTGTGTAGTTTTGTGCCTTTCCTGGAACTTACTTGGTAGCCCAGGCTGGCCTCAAACTCACAGAGATCCGCCTGCCTCTGCCTCCCGAGTGCTGGGATTAAAGGCGTGCGCCACCACTGCCCGGCAACAGAGTTTTCTATTTCAAATTATTCCTCAGTCCCCCAAATACTTTTTTATACACCTAGGAACGGTGTATCTGGCCTTAATCCTGAGGGTCATTTTCTGAAAACAAACACTTTTTTTTTTGGTCATTATTAGCCAATTGACAGTTCAAGATGGATTAGATTTCTTTAGTGCTGAGGTGACAGCAAATCTCTGATGCTTCTTCCTGGCATTCAGACCTCAAGCATTCACACTCAACTTGCTTAACTTCCTCTTAAGGGACAAGATCTGCTTCAGATACAGAAACTAAGTTTTTTTTTTTTTTGGTTTTTTTTTTTTGTTTTTTTTTTTTATAGAATAGTGAACAACATGTTTCTTCTTATTACGTAGAATGAGTCAGACACTAAAACAAGGACTTCGGGGAATCATCTGGATTAATCTTTGCTATAGTCTCACAGTCTCTGTAAATGAAGCTCAGGGAGGTTGGGCGACTCACTTGTAGCCACAGAGCTGGTGGAAGGACAGCCAGGACACGAACTCAGATAACCAGCACCTTGAGCCCATGTCCTCAGTCCTCACACAGTCTAAGCTCAGTTAGACTTGAAATGTGCAGGGTCATTGGAAGACTCACAGTCCTACTTCCGTGGTGAACCATCAGGCTCCAGTTAAACAGCTGATGGCTATTTGGAGATGTGACTATGTTTAAGAAGTGGGGGTCAAGGGCTCCCCATGCCTTTACCTTAGAACCAAGTTTTGGGATGGACGGTGTCTGTGGTCAGTACACAGGAGCCCAGAGGGAAGATCTCCAGCACCTGGGTCTTAGTACCTCCAAGAGTGAGTCCAACACAAGTTGCATGCCATGGATGAAGAGGTCTGAGACAAACCTGCCTTCAACTAGGGTGCGTGCGTGCGTGCGTGCGTGCGTGCGTGTGTGTGTGTGTGCGCGCGCGCGCGCGCGCACGCACGTGCGCGCGCGTTCTAATGTGTTTCAGCCTAATCAACAAATATGGAAAACAAGCAAACAAAACCTCCAATAGAAGAAGGTGGTTTACACACATTTCTTAAGTAAATGAGCCTGGAGCCAAGCGTACCGAGACAGTGCAGGGACACAGCCTGGAGCCTACAGGATCCTTGGTAGTTGACAGTGGATTCTCAGATCGGCAGCCATGAAGGCAGAGCTATGCAGATGGCATGACCTGCTGCACCCTCGGTTACTATTCAATTCCACGTGGAGTTCTGCCCGTGCAAGGATGACTTGCAGAGGATCCAGGCAGTCGGGTTCTGACTTGGCGAATAAACTGGCATTCTGGTTTATACCAGTCATTTCCAAGTTCAGTTACTATGAATCGGTTTCCCCGCAGCTAACACACTTCAGGGTATACAGACAAAATTTCTGGATCTCCAAATGAGGGAACCCAGTCTTGTCTCTCAGTAACTTACAGAGCGGTAAATGTTTCTCCCATGCCATGCCCCATCCTCTCTGTCCCTTCCTTGCTCCTCCTTGTCCCAAGGAGCAGAAGGTAGAATTCAATCAGAATCAGGGATGCTGATGTGGCACTGGTTATTCCAGGGTTGGGTCACTGTGTGCAAAGGCCACCTTGAGGTGGCCCTCCTGTGGGCCACCCACCTGCTTCCTTTCTCGGTGACGAACCTGTGTCCCTGGCACATCCTCATTCCAGCCTGTGCTCACTAGCCCTGAATTATGACACTCATTCTAACACACAAGGTCCCCAGAGCTGGACTTCAGAGGGAGGGGAAGAAACCAGGCTTCATTTGAGCTGAAACCATTCTCTCTAGTTCAGCTCCGAGTGACGATGTTGGGCATCCATGAAGCTACTGGAACATGGCACGGAATCCCACAGCACACTCTGTACTGTTTGGAAGAAGCTGGTTGGAGAGAGAGAGTGTGGCAGGCAGGCTGGGAAGTTTGGTCAAACATCTTCATTCCTGGGTTGTTGGCCACAATACCTGCCCTGACTCCTGCAGATCCACTGAGGAATTCCCTCCTATGGGATGAGAAGCACCAGGAGCCAGACTCCCGCAGCTGTGCTGGGGGACCAACCAGGCCCTGCTTTACATGACCATCAGTGGTCCCACACGATGGAAGCCCCACCCAGGCAGCACACTGAGTGAGAGCCTGGCCTTTCTTTTTTTAATACCTTCCCCTCACACAGTGACATCATGATGTGAATGAAATGATTCTAGATATTAAATAATTTCAGTGACATGAAATCCTGGATCCAAATACTTAATACTTCATTTTCTTTTGTTATTTTAGGCTCTTGAGACCAAAATGAATACTCTTAGTCTCAGCATTATTTACATACTGGACTACAGGGGACTGGCCTGCAATGTAGAGGACGTTTAATGTTATTTTAGCTTCTACCTACCACTTGCCCATAACATTGTCTGCATCAAATAATGCAAACATCTTCAAATATGGTCAAACACTCCCCTTGAGGGTAGAACTGTCCTTGGTTGAGAATAAGAGACTGTGGGTTGACACAGATACTACATTTGAGGACTAGGTTTAAGCAGCTAGGACAGTGCTCAGACCTCTTCCGTGGTCTTTTACCAGACTCACTTTTATTTTGTATATGTAGCCTCCCCCTGTTTACTCAGGAATTCCAGATGTTGCAGGACAAGGTCCTGGGGGGACTGATGTGTTCAAACTAGTGCCTCTCTGGTTAGTGGGCCCCGGTGGGCTTTCTGTCTGGTTAGTTTTCCTAATAAGCAGGGAGTTGAGTTACAACAGGCTTCAAGTCTCTGGAAGGTATTTAGGGCCCTAACTCTAGCAGGAGGCTCAGATGGCTTCAAGACTTCCCTTCTCCAGAGCTGTGTTTCCCTGTGGCCTTCAGGGCCATGAGCCACCCAACCGTCAACAAGAGCCAGCTCACCTCTGTGAATGTGTGCCAGGGACAGTGAGGTGACATGGTGCATACAGGAGTTCCAGGCGCTGAAGAACTCCTCCTGCTTGGTTACCACCTGTCAGATAATGGAGAGAATATCCATGAATAACATTTGGAGAAAGGCAAACTTGAAAATTTCCTTTTTCTTTTGTTGGCTTGTTTTTGGGGGGCTGTGTGGTGTCTGAGAGAGAGGGAAGTGCTGAGGCCTCTCACATACTAGCCAAGCACTCTACCATGGACTGAACGACACCAGCCAACAGTACCCTCTTCATACTTTATATCCTGAGACAGAACTTCACTGTGTTGTCTATGATGGGCTTGAACTGGTGATTCTCCTGCCCCAGCCTCCCAAATACCTAAGGCTTACAGGCCTTTACCAACTAGCCCAGCACATATCCCAACTGTCAATGCAACATAAGCATGGGCGTTGTGAAGTCACTGAGGGGCTGGCTGCATGAGCTGGGACAGCAACTTGTGAGTGGAGTAAATATCCTGATGGTGTCCAGACAGTCAGGTGCGTGCGTGCGTGCGTGTGTCTGTATGTTGTCTTCACACATCAGGCACGGTGTCTAGTTATACCTGATACTCAGGAGACAACATATGCACAAGCAACAGTTTGAGGTGAGCCTGGTGGCACAGGCCTATCATCTCAGTTGCTCGGGAGGCTGAGGCAGGGGGATTGGCCAGTCTCAGAACTTAGTGAGAAGACCCTGTCTCAAAACACACAAACAAACAAATGGAAATAGGACAGGTAGGGTGGCCTAGTGGTGGAGCACTTGCTTGGTATGCGTGAGGGTCAGCCCTCAGCACCACAAAACAAAAACAGAGAAATAATGTGAGTGACCCAGGCACATGCCCAAACACAGTGAGACTGTTTGCATAGGATTATTCACTTCCTGAAGAATTTTTTAAAAAAATAATATTTGAATTAATTGAGAATTATATACAGGGTATTTAGTTCACAGTCAACCTCCTTCTCTCCAGCTCCTCCCCGGTTCACCCCCACTTTCCACCTACCCAGCTTTATGTCTTTCTTTAAAAACCCATCCAGGCAATTTTGTGTTGCTCCAATTCTCTTGGGTGTAGGGTCACCCCTGAAGTGTCATCCGCCTACCAGGAGTCACCCCCTTGAAGAAAAACGCTCCCTCTCCCGGCTGCTATCAGTCACCATAGTCCCTCAGCTGGGGTGGGACTTCCGGTCCACCTCCCCTCTCCATGCTGGGATCTTGTCTGGCTTGAGTTTGCACACCTTGTGCACACTGTCACAACCACCGCGAGTTCCCAAGTGCCCAGCTGTGTACAGAAAACACTGTTCCCTTGCGGTCACCCACCACCTGTCTCTGAGTCTTTTTGTCCCCTCTCCTGCAACGATCCCAGAGATTTGGGAGTGGGGTAGGATACACATGTCCCACTTGAAACTGACAGTTCTCTTTATATCTAATATTTTTATTAAACCTTTGAGAATTTTCATACATATTTTGACCCGTCCTTGCCCTAGCCCCGACTAACACCTCCTCACCCCCAACTTCATGCCCTTATTTTTTTTTTTTAACAACTCACCAAGTCCAATTTGTGCTGTCCATATACTCATGGGGCCACTCACCATAGTGTGCTCAACCTACCCAGAGCCGTCCCCCTTAAAGGCAACTGCTGACTTCTCCCTCCCTCAGAAGCCCTTAACTGTCTACAGCTCCTCAGCCCGGCGTGGGGCTCCTGAGTCTCTCTCTCTTTCAGGCTGGAATACTGAGTGGTTTGATCACGAGCAGGTCTGGTGCCAGCAACCACAGCCCCTGGGAGTTCCTGCAGTGGTTCTGCCATGTGGAGAAGACACCAAGACACTGTTTCACTCCGGACCTCCCCACCTCTGCCCCTTCTTCAACCACGGGTCCCGAAACTTTGTGGGGACGGGGGCAGTGATGCAGATGTTCCATTTGTGGCTGAGCGCTCCACAGACATGTATCCTCTGCACTTTGACCAGTTGCGAGTTTCTGTGTCAACACCAGCCACTATCTGAAGAAACTTCTCTGATGAGGTTCGATAGGTGCACTAGTCTATAGGTTCGGATATGAACTTGGGGCCCAGTTTAATACCATGTCCTCTTAGCAAAGTAATAGTAGTAGGTTCAGCCACGGGCACCAAACTCACTGTTTAGATATAACACTCAGTGTGAGCTGCTCTCTCCCTCCTTGTTTCTGCTGACCTCAGGGGCTTCCTACAGGTCTGTAACATCTCACAAATTGGCGTCTAGTGGTCTCCGTGTCTGATCCATGTGAGAAACAAACAGAATCGTGGAAATAGGAACCACAGCCTGTCTGTGTGCATTGCTTCACTGGGACCTACCAAGTAACATCATTCAAATGAGTCACCTCGTGGCTCCCCTGTGTGTGGAGCCTGGGGCACATCTTATCTAACCAGAGAAGAGAGTTAAATTTGGCACGGCTGACCTTTTCTTTCTTCCTCCTTCTCTTTCTTTGTTTCAAAAACTGAATGATTTGATATTAAACTTTTAGTGATTGTGAGTGTGTTCTCAAGGAACCAAGACTCAAATAGAAAGTTACACTTGATGTATCGACTTCCCATTTGTGTCACACACACCCCCCCCCCAGCTGACAGGCCTCTCAGTTGGAAAGTAACCAGCTTTGTGGTAGCTTCGCCTCTGCGGGGCCTGGAGCTCTCACTGATGCCTCCTCAAACGGTGCTTTGTGCGCTGGTGGAAAAACAGCCCCGCAGAAAGGCTCGGCCATGTATAATTCAATATGAGGACCCGGGGCGGTGGGTGCAGTCAGGAGAGCCATATCACATGACCCTCCAGCTCCACCTCTAACCGGGAGTCACGTGGCAGTGGAAGGACAGACAGTGTCAGTGTGGATGCTTCCTGAATCAGTATCTCCCTGTACTGGTGTCACTGTTCTAACTGGCAAGCAGGGCAGAGACTGGCGACTCTCGTGAGCACGCTGTGGAACATTCACGGAAATTCTGGAAGCTGCTGGAAGCTCCCAAATAAAGTCTGGGAACACCACGTATCCATCATCTTACAGAATAATGCCAGGGTTAGGCTCTCCTGAAAAGCACACGGGAGGGAGGCAGTGGGAAGGACGACCCACTGTGCCAGTGGTCCAAACAGAATTGAGGGCTTTTTAAAAGCAGTATGACATGGAGACTAAGTTTTTCACCGGCCTGACCAACAGAAAAACAGGGACACATATCCGACTGGAAAGTCCCTGGAGGCTTCTTTGCTTCCTCAAAGGGCATAAGAAAGAAGGAAAAGACAATCCAAGGGTCCCAGTGGGCTCCTGGATCTTTTCCCTATATGCTGGCATCAGCTCGGAGAACGTCACTGCCCACCGATGTAACACCTTGTCTGGCAATGCAGGGAAATTCGAAGAGTATTTACCACGTGAGCAATGTTACACAACATAGGAAATCAGCCCGCCGGCCTAAGCATCACTGTGGGAGGTTCCAGTCAAAAAGACTTTTAAAGTGACAGTTATCCTTCATCTGAGGCAGTAAACAGCTCCTGAAAACCTGTGTTTAAACTAGGCGCATGCAAACGGAGTCCTTAAAATGCACCCAGCAACAGGACTGCTTTAAGCATTTAATTTTATTTGTTCACTTATTTAATCTTCAGAAGATGTCAGGTATTTGCCAACATTTTCATTTCATGGGCAGAAGAAGATGGTGAGCCAGGGAGGCTGAACAGTTTGCCTCACGTTGCGGAGTGGAGCTGGAACTGGGCACACAGACTTCAATGCTCCACTGCCTCCCAATGGGCGTAGGGACTGCCCCTGAAGCCCTGCCCTCCCCACTTGTACTGCTCATGCTTCCACAGGGGACAACATGCCTGTAAGCAGCAGCCTGTCCTCCAAGTGCCTAATGACAAGCACAACCAAAGGACAGAGCTGAAGACACGGAGAAACACCTTCCTTGTGGTGGATGATCATACCTGTGCCCCTTCCATTTCTACAAGATGGCCTCAAATGGATTTCAGCAGCATTATAACCAGTTAGAAAGAATTCCTTCTATAGGACCCATAATAAAATACCCTCAGCTAACATCACACTTAATGGTGAAAGAATAAATGTTTTCCCCTCCAGAAAGGTCAACCAAGTTGTCTGCCATCACTGCTCTCCTTCACATGGTGCTAGAGGAGCTAGCCAGGGCCATAAGGCAAAAAAAAAAAAAAAAAAAAAAAAAAAAAAAAAAAAAAAAAAAAAATGAAAGGAATAAGGAAAACACTCTATACTTTAAAAAAAAAAAGGAAAAGAAAAGCTTGTCTCTAAAGAAAATGCCAAGGAATATATAATTAAGGCTCTAGACCTTATAAGTGAATTAAACAAAGTAACAAGGTATGTGAGTAATATTTTAAAAGTTTACCCTGTGTCATATTCTAGCAGTGAACAATCAAAAATGTGAAATGAAAATCCCATTATGGAGTTGGAGAGACAGCTCAGTCGTTAAGAGGACTCGCTGCTCTCTCAGGGGATCCAAATTCGGATCTCTGTACCCACACTGGGAAGCTCACTACTGCCTGTTAACTCCAGCTCCTTGAGATCCATGGCCCTCTTCTGGCTTCCACAGGCACTGCATGTGTGTAGTATACACACAGGCACATACACATAAATAAAAATAAAATAAATCTTTAAAAAGTATCATAGTAACATCAGAAACATGAAATATTTATAAAACATGTAAAATCTATACATGAAAACAAAAAAAAATATTGCATAGGGAAATTTGCAGAGACCCCTCAATGAAAGGAGGAGGTACTATGTCCATAGATGGGAAACCCGAATTCTGCTACAATGTCATTTCTCATCCTGATCTGCAGGTCAACCCACACCCACCAAAATTCCAGCAGACTTCCAGCTTTGACAGGAATTTGTGAGATGGCTACAAAAGCTGCAAGGCCAACAGAAGACCTGGAACAGTCAAAGGTAATTTTGAGAAAGGAAACCCTTGGAAGATTCCCGTGATCTGATTTAAAGACTTTGATAAAGCTTTAGCAAACACAGCGGTGTGTAATTGGGATAAGGACAGAGATAGAGAGGAATGGAAGAAGGCGGGGAGTCCAGGAAT